GCACGCACGCACGCACGCACGCACGCACGCACGCACGCACGCACATATACATATGTGTGTGTTTGTACATATATATGCACATATATGCGTGTGTGTGTGCGCGCGCGCGTGCGTCTGTGCGCCTGTGTGTATGTGTATGTGCATACACATGCAGGTACGCACGCTCGCACGCACGCACGTACAATATCATACAGTTTGCCTTTGCTAAATCATCATGATTAGTTCTAATGAGGCTGTCCATTGTCCGATTTATAATAATAGCTTGCGATAATGAAGCGAATTACCATGGTTACGCACAAACACGGAACCCGCACACAGTCAGCATCATAGCATGTTCGTGTGTCCACCTGCACCCACCTGCACCGTCTGCCGCGCATGCGCACTACGCGCCCACACGCAGCAGCCAATGTACTGGGAGCTTCAAGAGACAACGCCGGCGAGCGAATAATAGATACATATATAATACGATTTACACGCGCAATGCAATTTAGCCGCAGATCTCGATTTAGTAACAAAAATAAAGAGTATAGCCCGCTCACGCGAAGACGCGCACGCGCATGCGCACCATACAGCACAATGTCTGCTGTTGGTTCTGCGAGGATGTACGCAGAATACAAGGGGCATCGAGAGAGCTTCAGCTCAGACTTAATTTTGCTACAACAGATATAATCATCCATCTAATATATATATATAAATATGTATATATATATATAGTGTATACTATATTACGTATGATCATTCTTTTTTGTGATTTTTATGACAATATAATACGTATATTTAAGTAGACGAAGCGATTTTTGTCATGCGGTCTTACGGTAGACAGTCCTTGGTGGGTAGGGACACATGCACACGTGGAATATACGTTACAACACATGATATACGTTGTTTAGTCACTTTGGACGCCGTCACATTAACTTAAGTTATGGGTATCGCATATAGATCATCACATTTATATCATGTACACTGATACTTCACACACGTATACGTGGCGCATTACATTTGATATATATATATATATATATATATATATATATATATATGTATATATATTTCACTATATTTGTTTTGACACGCGTCAATTCTGTAACATTTCTTACACTCATTTCTCTCATAAATGGTGTTTGTGTTTTTGCGCTTTTTTCCTCTTTCTCTCATCCTCCTACTCGCGCGTTCTACTCCCTTGCCGGGTTTCGCCTCGTTCGATGAAAATATATACGCTATTTCCTTTTTCATTATACTGTTTGATCGAGTGTGGTCATTGCCTCACGGTGCCCTTCTCGCAACCCTCTCCTGCTGTTTGTTATTAGCCATCGTCGTGTCGTGCGGCTGAAGGCTTAACAAGATTCCACATAACGTTGTTAGCGAACAATCACAGACTGGTTTCCGCGCGGTGTCGTCAGCGGACCTACGACAGCGCCACCTATGCGCTCCATCACATGTACAGTATGATTATGGTCGCTAAAGGCGAGGATGCATCAGCTCGCGAGGTCGCGTCGTGAGATAATGAATTGACTAGTTTGTCAGGCTGTTACGATCACATAGACCCGCCATACGGTCAATTCTTATGGAAAGGAAAAAATGATAGGAGCTGGTTTTCATACATGGATCAAATAAAATGTCGATCGTTCGTTTGATAAGATCAAGAGCTCATAATAGAGAGGATCTCTTGATGAGATGTATGATTAATGCTGGGAGCTCAATGATTTCTTATTCGAAAGAAATACCAGCGCTAATACATTATTACACTAGTAGATTGGTCTACTCGTAACCATTAGTGTGAGAAAGAATGCATTTAGTGTGAGTAATGATAAGAGATGGTGCAGTTAGTGCAAGTTAATGTGGGAGAGGATTCAGTTAGTGTGAGTTGATGTGGCGGAGAGTGCACTTGGTGTGAGTCAGTGTGAGGGAGAGTGCACTTGGTGAGAGTCAGTGTGAGGGAGAGTGCACTTGGTGAGAGTCAGTGTGAGGGAGCGTGCACTTAGTGTGAGTTAGTGTGAGGGAGAGTGCAGATATAGTGCGAGGTAGTGCGCGGGTAAGTGAAGATATAGTGCGAGGTAGTGTACGGGCAAGTGCAGATAGTTTGAGTTAGTGTGAGAACGAGTAAAATCAGTGAGAGTTAGTATGAGGAAGAGTGCATTAGTGTGTGGGAGGGTGTTGTTAGTGTGCGTTAGTGTACGTCCTGCACTAGTGTCAGACAAAGTAGTGCAGCTAGTGTGTGTTACTGTGAGGGACAGTGCAGTTAGTGTGTGTTAGTGTGAGGGGGAGCAGTTAGTGTGTATTAGTGTGAGGGACAGTGCAGTTAGTGTGTGTTAGTGTGAGGGGGAGCAGTTAGTGTGTATTAGTGTGAGGGACAGTGCAGTTAGTGTGTGTTAGTGTGAGGGACAGTGCAGCTAATGTGAGTTAGCGTGGGGGGGAGCAGTTAGTGTGTGTTAGTGTGAGGGACAGTGCAGTTAGTGTGTGTTAGTGTGAGGGGGAGCAGTTAGTGTGTATTAGTGTGAGGGACAGTGCAGTTAGTGTGTGTTAG